CGCTCCTCTAAGGGGTCCAGCGGAGTGGTGTGCTTCGCGGGCCCAGATGGGACCTCGCCTGCCCGGGCACTCGTCAAGCGCGCAACTGCCGCCACGCTCCTGCGACCCCAGGGGGTCCAGCGGGAGTCGTGTGGCTCCGCAGGCCCAGATGGCACCTCGCCTGCCCGAGAGCCCGCCGAGCACGCAGATGTCCCCACTTCTTTTGACCCTGGGGGGTCCATCAAGGAGCCCAGGGACACACATATAAATACACATTCATCCCAGGATCCCCCATATTTCCCAACATTGTCTGGGCGTTCGCCTCCCCTCACTTCCCATATGTTCCTCTATTTTCGGGGATCGACGATGAATTGTGTCTGTGTGTTTGGTCCCCTCCTGAGTCCCGCAAAACGGCGAGCCACGCGGGCCAGAATGAGACGTTGCCATCCACTGGTGCTCGCCAGGCGTGCAACTGTCGCCACGGTCCTGCGCCCTACGGGGTGTCCAGCGAATTGGCGTGCTTCATGGGCCGAGATGGGACCTCGCCTAGGGTGCTCGCCAAGCGAACATCTGTCGCCACGCCCCTGCGCCTGGAAGGAGCGAGCCGAGTGACGTGCTACGCACAGGTAGGCTGCGCCAGTCCATTTGGATTACAACGTGGGTCTGTCACTACAGAGAGGGTCATCAAACAAACGTTGAAACAGGTATTCTGCTTATATGTGCATATGCGGTCTGGCGAAGCACGGCGGCATCAACGCGACGCCAAGTAGCGTCGTGGACCCGAGCCTTTGGCCTGGACGCACGCCGCGCACGACTACCCAGATAATGAAGTTCTGCAACCGATCTGTGTTATGGCGAGGTCCCATATGGGCTGAGCCCATGTGGGACCTCGCCAGCCTGGGTGCTCGGCAGGCGTGCAGCTGTCGCCGCTTTCCTGCGCCCTCGGGGGTCCAGCGAGACGGCTGGCCACGCGGATCCAAAACAGACCTTGCCTCCTCGGAGGCCTGGAAGCTGCTCAGCGCATGACGGCCGCCAGCGCGTTCAAAGCACGCTGGGGGTTCCTGGGTGCTCCGCGAGGAGCAGTTGGCCGCCCGTCGAGGGCCTCTCGGTGCACGATCGGCCGTAGCCTCGCGCGCGGCGAGAATGGCGGGGGGCGGAGGCTGCGCTTTGGGACGGAGCAGCCGCCGGAGAGCCAGCCCGATCCCCTTTTGCCGTGTCTTCGGGACATGACTCGAGGCACCACACGACTAACCTCGGAAGGTCTTTAATACACCCCCTTTCTGATAGTGGGAACTGATTATGTTGCGCGCGGGCTCATGAACGGATTGGGACCGAAAACGATACTGGAAAATAATTCCCCCCCGCGGCGGCCACTGCTGAAGCCTCTGCCGTCTTCATCGTCGACGCCGCTGTCGTCGTCGTCGCACTCGCGCGCTTACTCTTTCTAATCCCTACTCCTAGGAGCACGAGGAGGAGGGCGAGGAGGAAGGGCGAGGAGGAGCAGGAGGAGGAGGGCGAGGAGGGGAGGAACGACTATTCCCAGCCGAGAGCTCAGGGGGGGTGGGGCCTTCAGCATTAAAGACCTCTCACGTTTACGGAAGGCGAAACACAGCTTTTTTGAATCGCGGACCCAGCGAGCGCGCAGGTCGGTCAAGCAGCCTGGGGCCACTGGACGGCGAATCGAACACTGCAAGACACTGGAGAGGAGGGTAACTCACAAGGGCACAGGCCCATACATTCGACGCCTTGACCTTTCAATATACGGGGTTCCCAGAAGCCCCGATCCTTCCCCTGGGTAGGTTCAGGTTGGGCATGTCCTCCTAAGGGTGGACTCGGGATGAAAAATCAAAAATAATCAAACCAACTCCCAAAAGTACGAACAAGTAATCGAAGAATCGTTCCCAGACTATTTCTTTTTATTCCCTACCTAGGCTCTGCCTAGAAGGGTTCTTACTCTGAGGCTTAAAGGGCCGGGCAGTGGGGCACGCCCCGGGCGGTTCCCCCGGCATCCACCCCGCGGTTCCCCCAGTGACGTTCCCTTAGCTTCGCGTTGCTTGTATCATCTTAGCTTAGCTTATTTCATCTTACCTTAGCTTAGCTTCATCTTACCTCAGTTGTATCTTAGCTTAGCTGACCTTCATCTTAGCTTCGCTGAGCTTTAGCATAGCAGAGCACAGCATAGCAAAGCGTAGCGTAGCATAGCATAGCGCAGCATAGCATATCATAGCATAGCCCAGCATAGCATAGCATAGCGCAGCATAGCATAGCATAGCATAGCGCAGCATAGCACCGCATAGCACAGCGCAGCATAGCATAGCATAGCACAGCTTAGCACAGCGCAACATAGCATAGCATAGCATAGCATAGCATAGCATAGCATAGCGCCGTTTAGCATAACATAGCATATCATAGCATAGCATAGCTTAGCGTAGCACAGCGCAGCATGACATAGCATAGCATAGTTTAGCATAGCATAGTATAGCATAGCATAGCATAGCATAGCAGAGCGCAGCATAGCATAGCATAGCATAGCAGAGCATAGCATAGCATAGCATAGCGCAGCATAGCATGGCATAGCATGGCATAGCACAGCATAGCAACTAATGTTGCTTTCCTAGGGGCTCAAATTTCTAGGTAGTGTCGCACTGGGGTCATGTTTGTTTAAATGTTCCTGCTGTAGGGGGACATGCCCGACTTAAGGGTAGGCATCTCCTTCTAAGCAGCTTATACTGATGGCCCTGGGGCACAGCGAGGGCCCCCCGCGGGCCGAAGGAGGCCAGAAACCTCCCCCCGTGACTGGTTTGTTCCACGACGGGGACATGTCTGAGAGGGCGGGGGGGGGCAGCTCTGTCGGCGGCGCGCGAGGGGGGGGAAGCGAGAGGGAGAAGGCCTTCTCAGACGGCGGCGGAACTTTTCCGAAGCCCCCCAGCCTTCCGAGAGCCTGTTGCTGCGACTTCGGGGAAGGAAAGCTTCTCAGAAGGCTGGGGGACTTGCGAGCCTTCTGAGAAGGCCTTCTCCTTCTCACTTCCCCCCCTCGCTCGCCTAGAGGCATCCTAGAAGGGGTCCGAGCACATGGGGTCGGAAGATCTCGCCGCATCGCCGATACATCGGCGATGCTTCCCCGATGCATCGGCGATGCGCTGGCGGCGTCGGCGATGCATCGGCGACGTCGGCGTTGAGAAAATTGGACTCCAAATCGAGCCGCATCGCCGATGCGTCGCCGATGCGCATCGGCGATGCGGCGCGACCCTCCGGCCCCACCTGCTCCGACTCCTCTGGGAGGCCCGGATCGCCGCCGAAGACGGCGTCGGGCTCCGCCCGTGCGTCATGTGTGCGTGTGTGTGTTCTCAGTGTTCCCTGGCCGACCCCCCCCTGAAAAATGGAGGGCAGCCTGGGGCCTTCGGGTTGGGCCGGGGTGGCCTGGTGGTGGCTGGTACGGCGTCGGGCTCCACCCTGGCTGCGGGCATGCCGCCGAGGAGCTGCAGCGCGAGCTGCCACTGCCGGCCCCGCCCGTGCGCCCGCGCGGCCGCGACGCGCCCGCAGCGCTCCCCGCGGGCCTCCGCGGCCGGCGCCGCGGGCGCCCCGCCTGGCCCCCGCGGCGCCGCGCGCGGCGCCGCGCCACATCGCCCCGCCGCGCCGCCCCGCTCCGCGGGCGGGGAGGAGGCGGGAGGGGCTCGAAGTTCGAAGTGCGACACCTCTGGGATCGGCGGCGAGCGAGGGGGGGGGAAGCGAGAGGGAGGAGGCCTTCTCTCAGAGAAGGCGGCGGGGCTTCTCAGAAGCCCTCGCGCCTTCCGAGGGGCTTTGTGCTGTGCCTTCGGCGAAGGCTTCCGAAAACTTCTCGGGAGGCCCGGGGGACTTCTGAGCCTTCTGAGAAGGCCCGCCCCTTGTCACTTCCCCCCCTCGCTCGCCGCCGATAGAAGAAGACAAAACGCCACAAACACAAACTCTTGGCGCTGCGAGTGGATTTCTTGGACCCGCGCTGGAACCCCCTCCCCAGCGCGCGGAGCGCGCCGGGGGCGGCGCCGGAGGCGCCGCCGGGGGGGGGGCAGCGCGGATCTAAGAAAAATCCGCGCGGATCGCCCAAAAGTTATCTTTGTGCCGTTCTTGCGTCTTCGAACCAGAGATGCCTTTCGGGATGAAGAGGAGGTGGACGAGGAGGAGGAGGAGGAGGAGGAGGAGGCATGTTTTAACATGCCATGCAAGCCCGCACTAGGCGGGCACGCAATCGACCTTGGAAACCGCAGTGGGTCTAAAAACCCTGTTTGGGGATACTGCACTCCGGCTATAATCTTTGTGCCGTTCTTGCGTCTTCGAACCACCCTCATGCAGTCGGACCCAGGCCCGAAGAGCGTCCCTCGGGACCGGGAGGCACTCCGCCGGCCAAGACACACGCGCGGCGCATCCGCGGGCACCCTCCCCGCAGACAGCAGCGCGAGCCTCCAGCAGGGAGGGGGGAGGAGGAGGAGGAGGAGGAGGAGGAGGAGGAGGAGGAGGAGGAGGAGGAGGAGGAGGAGGAGGAGGAGGAGGACGTGCGTGCGCGTGGCTGTGTTCATGAGGCGCCCACCTGGGCCCTTTCCTCCTCCGAAGGGAGGGGGGAGTCCTGCTCGGACCCGAGATCCGGGCGCTGCAGGTGCTCCCTGCCGGCGTTGCGCCAGGGGCTTCTCTCCGGTAGCTCGCCACGGCTCGGGCGCCCATTCCCCCTGCGCGTTTGTCGGCCTCTCGCGCGTGCTTCTACTTTTGCTTGGCAAGAGGACCCCAGCATGCTCCTCGATTTAGGTCGGGCGTGTCCTCCCACAGGCAAATTCTGAAGGAGAAATGGAATATACATATATATAAATATATCTAAATAAATAAATAAATACATAAATAAATGTATACATACATAAATATATACATACATACACATATATATATTCAAAGATAGTCCAAAGACCTTGTCGAAAAGTCGTCCCAGACTATTTGTTTATTTGTTCTAGATGTTCATCCTGTAGAGGGACACGCCCGACCCAAACCTGGATGGCCCCCGCCGAGGAAAAAACAAAAAAAAAAAAAAAAAAAAAAAAAACGCCCGAGCCATGCCAAGGCAGCGGCGCAGGGTCCCACACTGCCCCCCCACCCCCCCCTCCATCACGCAACGCCTCCCCATTCAATACGTCCCCGGCATTGCCGCAGTGCGCCTGGCACCACAATCTGGGGGGAGAGGGGGCGCTACGATATGCCCCCTCCCGTCCCCCCCACCCTCCTCCCCTCCAACAGCGCCCGTTACGGCCGCGAGTAGGAAAAATGCGGTCTTCGGAGCCTCGGATCTCTGGGCCCAGGACGTCGTGACTTGTTCGCAGCATCGACCCCCAGAGGTCTGGACCCGTTCCCCGGGACCAGGTTCTCGTCCCGAGTCGCCTTTGCGTGGTCCCGGGGCCCCGTGAGGGCCCCCGGAGGCCCAAAGTGGCGGAAAACCGCCCGTCGTGATTTTTTCCTCTCGACGCGAGGGCGTCTGGGTCAATCGAGCCTCGGAGCTCTGGGCCCCGGGAGGCGGCGCGGTGCACGCGCGAACGTCGAGCCCCCCCGACGGGCCGCGGGGGCGGGGGCCCCCCGGAGGCGCGGGGCGCCCGGCCGGGGCGCCGGCCGCGCGCCGGGCGCCCATGCGAGACCCCGGGCCGCGGCGGCATGGAGCGAGCGGGGGAGCGACGTCGAGCAGGGGAGCGGGCTTCAGGAGTGCTTGGCCCCAGGATCGACTCTTCTCCCGGGCCTCCTCGAAAAGATCACGACGGGGAGGTCCTTGGCCATGCTCGGCCTCTGGGGGCCCTCGCCGGGCCCCTGGGCCGTCAAGGAGCGACGTCGAGCAAGGAATGTGCTGCAGGATTGATCTGCGACCCATCACGGCCACGAGGACCGGGTCCCCCACGCTGAAGACAGAGTGTGCTTCGAGAAAAGAAGCAACAAGACGCTGTACAAGATGAGGTCGAAGCACAACACGGCGGCCGCAAGGCAGCGATAGCGAGGCGTAGGCCCGGAGGCCCCGACGCCAGAATCGACTTTTCTCCCGGGCCTCCTCAAAATCACGACGGGGAGCTCTTGGCCATGCTCGGCCTCCGGAGGCCCTCGCCGGGCCCCTGGACCGTCAAGGAACGACTTAGGACGAAAGGCCGGTCCCCGGGAAGGGGTCTGGACCTCTCGGGGTCGACGTTGTAACAAAAACCAAAAAACAAAAACAACAAAAATTCGCCGGCCCAACGGGCCAGAGGCGTGCTAAGATCTCCGGTAACTGGTTAACAATTTTCTAGTTCGCGCGCGCGGGGCGGCCCCTGGGGGTCCCCGGACGAAAAGTACCCCGACCAGGTCCCGGCCGGGTCCCCCCGAGCGCTCCATGAGCGCACCAACAGGGCTCCGAGACGTCCCCGAGAGCCCCAAGAAAGGCCAAGAGGCCCCCAAGAGGCCCCCAAGATGGTACACGAGGGGTCCGACATGCCACAAGATCGCTCCAAGACGCCCAAGATAGCCCCCAGACGCCCCAAGAGGCCTCCAAGAGCACTCCCAATAGGGCCCCCGGAGGCAAAAATCATTGTTTTTCCATAGGTTTTTGAGAGATTTTGGAGCTTCCACCTTTTCGGCTTCCCGACGCCCCAAGACGGCCCAAGAGGCCCCCAAGATCGCCCCAAGAGGGCCCAAGAGGCACCCAAGAGGGCCCCAAGATGGCCCAAGAGGGCTCGAAGACGGCCCAAGAAGCCTCCAAAACGGTCCAAGAGGGCCCCAAGAACGCCCCCAAAGGGGCCCCAGAGAGGGAACACGAAACAACATTTCGAGCCCTCGGCCCTAAGAAGCCCCTACGAGGCCCCTAAGAGGCCCCAAGAGGCCCCCACGGGGCCCTCAGGAGGCCCCCAAGAGTCCCCCAAGCGGCCCCAGGAGGCCCCCCAAATGCCCCCCCGAGCGCCCCAGGAGTCCCCCAAGCGGCCCCAGGAACCCCCAAAGCGCCGCATTGACACCAGGCCCTCGGGCAAACGGCAGACATGAGACTGTATGGGCCGGCGGAATGAGCGAAGCGATTAAATAAAAACAGAACACGACGTCGGGGGTCTGGGCTCGTCAATCCACGGGATTTGCGTGAGGAACTTTGGTAGATCTACGAAACGTCTACGTATTCGTTTATAGATACGACGTCCAGATTAAATCTGGGGTACATCAATTCTGTAGTCGATCCCCTACTTCGCGGCGACCACAGAATGATGTAACCCAGAACTGCTTCCTCGTCGAATCTACGACAAGTGCGTAGCATGTCTGGAGATTCGGCAACTATTATACGCAGTCTTCGTTGACTCGACGGAAAAGTCTATGTTGGGGATCGAGTAATGAGTTGTCCGTCGAAGCGACGAAAGATGCGTAGAATGGTTGTCGAATCTCCGACCATGCTACGCACTGTTCGTATACTTTCGACGAAAAGTCATTATGGGGCAAGTCCAGTTCGTAGTCGATCCCCTGCTCGAATGGAGCCGAGGGCGGCGGCGGGTGGTTCTCGGGCCAGGAGCGGCGGCGAATGGCGCGCCCGCGCCTGCCGCGCGCGCAGAGGGGCCGCCGCCGCCGCCGCCGCCCGGCGCCGCGCCGAGGCGCCGCGCCGAGGCGCCGCGCCGAGGCGCCGCGCCGAGGCGCGCGCCGGCGGCGGAGGCGGCGGTCGCGAGGACGGCGGCGGCGGCGGCGGCGAGGCGCCCGGCCGCCGCGGGAGGCGCGCGGCGCCGGCCTCCGCGCCCGCGGGGGCGGCGCCGGGCGCGGGGGGGGGGCGGCCGGAGGGGGCGGCGTCGGCCTCCATCCCTGCCTGGCCAGGGGGCCCCTCGAGGCGGCGGGGGAGGAGGAGGCGGCGCGCGCTCGCGGGGCGGGGGAGGGGGAGGGGAGGAGCTCCCCGCGTGCCTCGCGGTGGCTGGCCGGGTTTTCCCAGCGCTCGCTCTCGCGCGCCCGCGCGGCGGAGGCGGCCTCTCAGCGGCTGGCTGGGCAGCATTCCCAGCCAATCACCAAGAGGCCTGCTGAGAGGCAGGCTTTGGAGTGGTGGGTTGACTAGTGGTCTACGGTTCGTCTTTGGACCCCTTCTAGGAACCTGGGAGGGAGGAGATCGGGGATCGAGGATCGAGGATCGGCGCGCCCGCCTGACGGAGGAGGGGCGATCGATCCCGGGAGAGGTCCTCCTCCTCCTCCTCCTCCTCCTCCTCCTCCTCCTCCTCATCATCCTCCTCCTCCTCCTCCTCCTCCTCCTCCTCCTCCTCCTCCTCCTCCTCCTCCTCCTCCTCCTCCTCCTCCTCCTCCTCTCCTCCTCCCTCTCCTCCTCCCTCCTCCTCCTCCTCCCTCCTCCTCCCCTCCTCCTCCTCCTCCTCCTCCTCCTCCTCCCTCCTCCTCCTCCTCTCCTCCTCCTCCTCCTCCTCCTCCTCCTCCTCCTCCTCCTCCTCCTCCTCTCCTCCTCCTCCTCCTCCTCCTCCTCCTCCTCCTC